GTTTGTGACAGGTAGCTGTAATTGCAAGCACACTTACACAAAATTTACAGACGAATTGGTCGACGCGATAGAGACTTTGACGTCTCCATTTGCTTGCTCCTTTATCTTGCCCGCGAATTCTACGATTCTGTGCTGAGGAATTTATCGATGGGTAATATTTCATTTTGGCACCACTTCCCCGCGCCTGACATATTTATTAAGGGTTCAGCTACGGCACTCATTTGTTTCGCCATGACAGACGCAAGCCTAAACGATTTCTACTACCTACTTACCAGCCCCATATGCAACTACTATAAGCGGATTTCTATTGATTGCAACTACTGCTACACTCTAATAATTTGCTTGCATGTATTATGAAGCGTACACGTAACTAATCAATAACGTAATGCTTTTCAATGCATTCTACTATTTAAATTCCATCTTAAATTCTTTTCCACGAATAGCTGAATAATATTGTCCAATAGGAGTTTGTTAGATAGTGAGGATGCGTGGGTTGGAGCAAATTTATTTAAACTGTAGGGGTTTGTTTTTTGGAAAAGGTTCGGACACATTACTTCTGACTGCGGTTTTTTTCATGGTAAATTCATCTATGCAGGGTGGCCCAAACATAAAAAGCTACCACCGATCTTATTTTCTCAAATGGAAGCATCTATTTGTAAATATATATTTGAATTCTGCATCGAATGTTAAATATACTTCGTTTAGTTTCTGTAGTGAAGTGACGTTTAGTTTGACCGGCGAAAAGTAGGAAAGAACAGCACTAGGCCAGAAAAGAAAGGAGACAACTCTCGACCAAACTCTTAACCGGTGAGGAGCGTATGATCCGTATAGTACTGCACGGAAAAATTGACCGTTTTATCCACTAAAATTGCATTGCTCAAATGTGCTTTTATTGGTACCAATTACCAGTGAAAATATCAACGACATGTTTATTCCAATTTGAAGACATATTAAAGGCTTTAACGCTTGTTTTCGATTCGCACTATTATTCATGATTGAACAAACTTTTTGGCAGGTACTGTATGAAAGTGTATGTTTAATGAACAAGAGTCGAGTGTATAATGAGTTTTTTTCTCCCTACCTCCGATTTTACCAGCGCGCATCCAAGACATTGAAAAGTGCACATTGCTAGAGAAAGTAAATGAAGTATACATTTCGTGTACGTACATCAACTACAAAAATTCGTAATACCCACGTTAACTGGGCTTTACCAAAATGCATAAAATCCAAATATACCAGCAGATTCGGTAGAACTCCAACAAGATGGAACACCCCATACTATTCGCGAATAGTATAAGATTACCTTAGCAATATTTTTCCAAATAGATGAATCAGAAGGAGAGGCGTTATCGAATGGCCAGGTAGGTTTTCAGACCTAACCTCATTAAATTTTTATTTATGGAATTATCTGAAATGTAAAGTCTACTTCAATAAACCGGAAAATATTGATGAATTGAAAAACAGAAATACAGTTGAAATACAACAAATCCAGCCATAAACATTAACTAAAGTGTTACAAGACTTTCAAGATCGACGTCTTTTGTCAGCAATTTGAATATTTAATTGAATAATTTGTTGTTCTACTGTTTAATAAATTTCAAACAAGAAACAAACCCCTCAATTTTAAATGTGTTTGTTCCAATCTTCGCAGCTTTCTAAATTATGAATGAAGTCAGTCGTAAATTTACAGATAACTGCTGAGTTTAGTTACAGAACAAGGTACATGAAACGTAGTTAAAATTCGATGCAAAATTGAAAAATATAATAAAAAAATAGATGCTTCCATTTGAAAAAATAAGGTCCCAACCCATGCATCCTCACTGTGTGTATACAATAATATATAAAATGTATTTTGGAAGAATGTGCGATGTTGATAAAAACGCGAATCATTGGTAAACAAACTTTTGCATAGAAAAGCTGTTTAAAAAAGCTGAAATACTAAATGTTCAAACTGTAATTCTCTTTTACAGTGCACTCATGTCGTAAACAGTGGATCGCAATGGCCACTGTCATCCGTTTTTCCAATAAACTGAGATTTATAGTTTGTATTTCGGGCTTCGGTATACAAAACTATCAGAATTATGAATGCAACCATCGAACCATAAGAAATTTATGCAAATGGAAATTGAAACTGGATTTTGTAAATGTTCGCATCAAAGTTGCATTAACAAAAAACCTACCTACCTACATGATAACTTGGTAATTACAAGTAATTCGTTTCTTTTTATTTTACTTTAATACGTTATAATCAGAAACTGAAATCCTAGGTATGACCAACGCTGATAGGCAAACCTCAAAAGATTAAACTTCCAATCAAGGCAACTTAGAGTTACATAATCTAATTAATTGTTTATAATTGTATTTTAATCAATATCAATGTTTTATAGAGATAATAAATGTGAGTGTAGTTTATGTGTACGTGCCGCTAAAGCTCCTTAAAGGAATGCCGCAACCTCATAAGCCTTCTATTCCCCGTCCATGAAAAATGTTTCGGTTTTCAACTGCAGGGGTTAATTTTAAAGATGTGGGGGTTATTTTTAAAGATATGGGGATTAAAATACTATCGCCCGAAGGGACTCTATTTGGGGAGAGTTAGTAGAGGTATTAACTGAATTCCGACATCTGGTCAGAACGTTACACAATGTCCCAGATTTTTCCTGAATTCCTTACATCTACAGGGTTTGGAAATGTTTTATAATTTTCTAGAAAGTTCGAGAAAGTTTCAGAATCATCATCATCATAAGGTTGTCATTCCTAAGATTGGTCGGACACGCATCTCCACTCTTTCCTATCCTGAGCTAATCTTCGCATTTCCCTAAAACTAGAACAACCCATATCCTTAACTATTTGCAAACAGTAATCTAGTCTAGGTCTACCTCTACCTTTCCTAACTTCCGTTTCTGCCTCTAATATGTCTCTGACTAGACCTTCATGTCTGAGAAGGTGTCCTACCAACCAATTTCGCCTATTTCTTATCGACTTCCATAGATTCCTCTGTTCTCCTATTATTTCTAATACCTTTGCACTCTGCCTCACTTTCCTACGCATTACAATTCCTACCCCCGAATTACCTGCCACCGATCCTGTATGTATTATTCTAAAGTCTCAATTCCAGAAGTCTTCAACTTCGTGTCAACCGACTTCACTAATACCTACTATATCTAATTCTAATCTATTCATCTCAACTATTAAATTTTACAATTTCCCTATTTGCCTCATTGTCCAAACCTTCCACGCTCCGACTCGTCAAATATTGCACCTACCCCTATTGCACTTATTGATGACATCCACGAAGGTAGTCCCCGCCCGGACATCCGAATGGGGTACTAGTTTATGTCCGGAGTGCTTTACCCCAGAGGACGCCATCATTTTAATTTGGTGTGTTCTACATGGGATATAATAGTGTGGGTGGTTTCCCGTTGCCTCCCACATCGCGGTATTGTGCATCATACCCATTTTCGTGATCTCTGCAACCCTGAGTATTAAAAGAGCTGCTGCCCTTGTCTTAGTCTGGTTTCTCTTTAACAACCCCTCCATTGTGGTTGAACCTATGGTCCGGCTCCCTAAAAGATCGAAACTGGCAAGCCGATCCTCTCACTAGTTTGTAGAAGAGTTTCGTCAATAATAGAATAATAACTAATTTTTCCTGAGCGAAGCCAGGTAATCTGGCTTGTAGGCAATAATAATAACGTATATGGTATCTATATTACACGTCAAAGGAAGAAGTTAAGGGATTCTCTCCCAAAGGGGAATTGCCACCCGAACCAAAGGCTAGGATGGCAGCCTCATAGGAGGGTGCCGTACTTTTTTCTCGAGGCTGGTATTCGAATTTTTACCACTCCCCTGTCCCGAAAGTACGATTTCTCCTGATTTCAAGAACGAGAAAGTATATCAAAACTTTTCAGGTAGTGAGTCTTTTGTTTCACTTCCACATCATAAAATTGAATTCTAATCAGGGTTCGACGTACGGTTACGAAATGGCAGATATTTCCTTTGTAAGTTGACCAATCCAATTGGAACAAGGAAGCAGCTTATTGTAAGTCTTCATCTATCAAATGTGTTTTTCTGTTTTAAAATTCGAATACGCGTATCTAATAAGTCACATATAAATGTGATCGTCTTGCGCTCAGTATTCTTGTGATTTGAAATGAGAGAAAACGATGCAGCCGATGCCCGCTTGCAAGTATTTGCCTCTTACTACTTTTATTATTCCTTTGGGCACTGTGATTGTCAAGATTGTATTATGAAGATTAGAATGAAGATTCGGGCTATAGGGCCGTGGTCTACGTGAACTATTGTGTCCAGACGTTTCGTCAGCTACTGCGGCTGACATCCTCCGTGGTAGTGCTGCTTTGACAAGGAGAACGTAGATTATATTTCGACGCTACAGCCCGAATCTTCATTCTACTATGGATTCCGGCCGTGAAAGCCTTTGTTCTTATATTGTATTATGAGTTGATTCTACAAGAAAATTGTAATTATTTTTGTAAACAGTTTGGTCTGCAATTTATTTGGGGTTATTAATTTCATATGGAATTTTTGGGTGAGGATTTTCCTTAACCACAGTGAAACTTATTTATAGTTATCCCCACCTATTCCGCCGACGTGACCTTGTATTGACTATTTTGTTAATATAATATTGACCGAAACTGGACTCAAATTTATAATACACAATTATATTTACATGAAAACGTCAGGATTAATGATAATATGAGGCGGAACGGTTTAAGCGTTCCAAAACAAAAGAGCGGCGCAACGCGCGTCGGTCACGGGAGTATTGTTAAACTTTCTTCCACAATAATTCTGTTTGATAATAATTATCGTAATCGTAGCGGCAGTTGAAAGACAATGGTGAAACGATGGAGCCGTCATTATCAGACAACGGCCAAAACGAGCTTTGGTGCGGCGCGGCGTGCAACCCTTGTGCTTGTGTTCGCCGTTTTAGACAGTTGAGAGCAGGCAACCACCTAACAGACATCCAAGCAATTAATCAGACTTACCGCATTGACAGCAGTCATGTCCTTCGAGGATTCAGACTCTGCCGCTAAGCTGTCGCTCTGTAACAAGAAAAAAAGTTGACGTGGGTCAATAAAATATTATTTCATTTAATTTTAACACCTACTATCTACTACCGACCCATTCAAAACCATTTTACGAAAGCGGCAGCGAAGCATGATGTCGGAGAGAATAGTGAATACACTACTTTTTGGATATAAGTAGAATGTAATAACAAACTTCTTAGCTGCAGTGTAAATATTATATATTAAAAATATTCCGCAAGATTTCATCCCGAATATGGACAAATTTTACGGTAATATGTTCGGATAAAAGGGTAAAAGTACACATTTTTGGGCAAGCTAACTACCCACCAAAAAAAAATAGAATAGATACATGGGGTAAAAGTGATCTGCTTTTTTTATGGCATCGAAATAGTGCTCAAACATTTACAGAAATTTAAATTAAACTTAATTGAATTCTCCAAGAGCGGACTCATAAGTTGGAATAATAGAAGTGGCAGTCAGGAGTGAAGTAGTAAAAACACAAAATTATTGGTACTCATTTTACTGCGAAAAAGGTTTCAGAAAGAAATTGTTGGTTTCGAAAAGGAAATCAGTTGGTGACCTTTATATGACCTTTACATTAACCTTCGAGGTCACTTAAAGGTCAAGTCCTTGTCTACGTCAAATTTGATGTGCATTGCTTTCCTGCCCAGCCACATGTCGAGCACAGTTTGATCACGCTGTTGAGCATGAATATAGTGAAAATTAGAGAAAGTAAACCAATTTGGAAGTATTTAATATAATATATTATTTTGTTAGTTAGATATTAATTGAAAACCCAATTTTCATAAGAAAAAATTCAAAATCGTGCGCGTTACTACATTTCTCAATTAGCAATATTTAGCTAATACCAGACATTTTATTTTAAAGGACAAGATAGTTGGAGTAAAATAATCTATTTACTGTTAATTAAACAAACCTTGGTACGGAAATGCAATGAAAAGATATCATTTTTCGATAGAATTCATTTCTGAACGTCAGACAAAACGATTGTTTAGTAACCTTGGACGTTTACTGTATTTACAAAAAAACAATTGTGTGGTTTTATGAAACAATGATGCAAGTGAAACTGAGTATTAAAATTAAAATCGCGCTCTTAATTAATTAATGATGAATAAATGGGAATGGTAATGGGAAATCAATAGTAGACAAGATATCCAACTATAAATTTTAATTTCAACCTACGTATGAGGGTACGAAATACATAATAAATACAATCATTTAGATGATAGACGCGTGTTAAAAACTGAGAACAAAATATATTTATATCATTGAATCAATTTGAACTTCAGTTATTTTATCAATAATTTTATCTTCGCTTTGAGTTTCACAGTCTATAAATGTACTGCACTTGCACGAATGAGTGAGAATATAAATGTTACACGGGGCTCTACTATATTGGCCTTAGCTGCTCTGCCGAACGCCTTCCAGTATTACCCCTACTCCGCGGCTGGCTGTAATGCGACATGCGATAGATGGACGAAAAACTTTGAGGCGATGTAATAAAAGTTTCACTTTAAAAACCATCACGTAGATCAATTCTCGTTTAATTGCGATAAAGTTTAAAATATTTTTTTGATTTTCGAAAGGTGCCCGATATTTGGCTTTCAACCCTCTTTGTAGATTTAGGGACATTGATTCTGTATCTATTTCGCAGGCCGCTAAGTCTTTAAATTGTCACCTTTCTATGCTGATGGTATCTTCAATAGTTACTTGGATGTATCTGATGAGGCATAATAAAAAAAAACATCAGCAAAATTTTACGCATACTGACAGAAACGGGCAGAATAGATTAGAAAAAGGCTTATAAATAATCATCATTACTAAAAATGTAGTAGTACGTCGCCGTCTTGGTCAAGGTCTCTACAAAAGGTAACTACATACTTGCCAAACTGAAAAGAAACGTTTTGCTTTCACCAGCTGATGTCGGTAGATTAACTGGCCCATAGACTACTGACATTGTGGTGTAAAGTGGTGGGTAAGGCGATAGAAGCCGCGAGAATTGGTAAGTGAAGGTATTTAGGGAGAAAGGCGAGGTGGATTATGTGAGAAGAATAGTAAGTTGCTAACAGGAGACTTGGGGACTTGCTTACTCTGCATAAATGTATGATTTATCGTTTGAGTAGGTACTCGCGAATACTTGGTACATGTCATAGCAAAATAGGATAGATATTCGGAGGCCGGATCTCTTGAGTCCTGAACTATTGATTATGATAATTAGGATAGGACGAGTTTATTATCGGCTTTTAGTATATAATAATTAGCATGGTTTTATTGGAAATTGCTATTAGGAATGGGAATTTAATAAGCCAGGAAGCATGCATTTGTAATTTAAAAAAAGGGCGTAGATAAGAACATTGTAAAGAATATTCTATACCCTATACATAGATCTGGATATCATAAATATGAACATAGGAATTACAAAAAAAAAATACAACGTGTAATTATACAACACGCTACTGAAGTGAAACTTCTTCAAACACACAAACATACCGGGATAGGGGTTAAGGAATTGGTTTAATGGTATTATTTGTACACCATATGCTTCGCACATGTGCAATGCTGATAGTAAATTAGTAAATATACTATAGAATGTCTTTATGTACAACAATAACAGCTTTCTTGTCATTAGTCAATACAAACCGGCCGGTACCGCCGCAACCGCTACGTCCCTGCATTTTAAGCCTGTAAAGGGCCATATTGATCTATATTAAATGCACAAAGTATTTAAAAGTACTTAATTGGATAAGGATTAATGCTGTATTGCTTAAAATCGCTTCGTAAATAAGCCATTATTTCTCATAAAAAGTGGTTATTGTGGGTTATCCCTAAGAGATAGACATATACCATCCTGGACTTTTTTGTAGACCTTTTTAAGATGTACAATTCTGTAGTATATTATTTTGATCTATCTCGTAGGATTCAGCCAGCGTTTGCAAAGTATTACAAACCTCTAAAATTATCACTGTTTCTCTACTACGAGGGTGGATTGATAAGTTTCCGGCCTGACCAAGAAAAACAAGGTTTTTAAAAATTTTTTTTTTATTTCTCAACATAATCTCCTCCAAGAGGCTGATACATTTCTCATAGCGGTGTTCCAGTCTATTAATGCCATCTCTATAGACTGATTCGTCAAGCTCCTCAAAATAACCATTTACAGCTTCGTACTTCTTCATTGTCCNGATGATTGCCAATGACCGCCAAAATTTGAATAACTTTTGTTGGTTTCAGCATAGAAAGTGCGTGTAATCTGTGAAGCACATCCAATTAGGAGTGCGAATAACTAACATTAACAAATTTTAATTTTCTCAAAATATTTGAAAATTTACGTGTTCGAATACTCTAAATCAGATTATAAAGTTTTCAATACTGTAACTCATTTACTTATGACGATAGGTGACAATCACCAATAATGACTTGAAAATTATATATTAGGAAAGGAATCATTAAATTTGAATTCATTTATAGCCTATAATAAAGTAATGCAATAGACATATTTTGTGTGATTACCTTCGTTACAATAAATTTTTAACCATGAATATTTTTTTATTTTGAATTCAATTGGGATTATCATTTAATCGGCTTCTTCAAATTTTGTGGTAAGTCATCTTGATTTTCGGAAATTTCGGTATTCTCGATGTTGAAAATTGCAAGGAATTTTTACAGACTATCATGCTGTAATGAACGTCTTAATATTTACTCACTATAGTGATGAAGACTGTCAGTGGTGTATTTGAAACGTAAACGTTTTCATAATGAAAATTATTCTGGTGACTCCGGCTGCACGACAACGCGCCAAGTGAACGCAAGTCCCAAGCCAGTCGAGTTGGCGAAGCAGGCGACTAGACGAAATAAACAAACCATGGAGATAAACATTTGCCTTTTGAAAAATGTGTGGCAATTACATATATATAATTTCCAGCTTTACACAAATTGTAAGCAAGGATTTTCAAAATATTCAAGCAGTTCTAGTACATCACCATGGGTCTTTGAATGAACCTACTTCAAACTTTCGCTTAGCTGCATTTTCTAATGGCATCTTATCCTTTGTTTAAATTTCAATAAAAAATCATTAAATTTATTGCTATTAGTTTATTATTTTTACATCTTAAAGAATAAAACGAAAAACATGTTGCAACAAATTTGTAATTGTTAGTTATCATAAAAATGGAGCCAATTTTACAAAGTTCCAAAAACCTGGAAAAAATTATACTGCATAGGTTTTATGGAGAAAATCCTCATCATCATAATCATCATAAGGTCGTCAGTCTTAAGACATGTACCTCCACTCTTTCCTATCCTGAGCTAAACTTCGCATTTCCCTAAAACTAGAGCAACCTACATCCTTAACTATTTGCGAACAGTAATCTAATCTAGGTCTACCTCTACCCCTCCTGAGTCCTGTTTCTGCTTCTAATATGTCTCTGACTAGATCTTCATGCCTGAGAAGGTGTCCTACCTACCTATCTCGTCTATTATTATGCATGTATTATACATATAAGCATTTCTCTTGAATTACTCTATCTATTTAATAAACGCATTAAAATCCGTTGCGTAATTTTAAAGATCTAAGCATACATAAGGACAGACAGCGGGGTAAATGCGTTGCATGAATTCGTTACATAGCAACTCGGATGAAACGAACTTACCCTACCGTGCGTAGAGAAGTTTCACTTCAAAAAAATTCAAGAGACGGTCAAAGGAAACGTCTCATTAGTATTTTTTAATAAAAATAGACTATCAAAACAATTTACGAAAATTTATACAGTGATACTTTTAACCATACGTTACAAAAACCCTTTCAAAACAATTATGAAAGAAATGAACAGTACCTACTACTGTTAGGCCGGAGACATACTTGCAACTTCGGCGTTCCACTACCGCCGTTACTTCTCCCCAGTTTATTTCAAGTACAAGTTCTTACGGGGGGAGGGGGTTATATTCGCGACATTAGCCGCAGAATACACCGATTGTGTTGCGGAATGCGATTTTGCCGC